CTTTCCATTTCTATGTAGCAACATTCTATCAACGCCTGTATATGGAGTATATCTCTCTCAATTGAAACGATATTCCAGAGCTTACGTAATCACAATCCCGTCCTCATCACCAGAGGAGACTTATCACCGGATTTGTACTTGGATGAGCAATACGACGGGTGTCACATATGGACAGGGACTGTCTTTCTTATCGGAGCACCTGAGTTCACCCCCAAGTTTAAGGTGGGGTTCTTGTTTCTCAATCTTTAGTTTTTTGTATGGTGTTTTGTTGACTTTACTTTTTTTCGTTTTATGTCTTGGTGTTGTCAGTTTGTCTTCGACTTAAGAGTTTTTAATGTGTCTTTGGTATCTTCCGTCTCTTTTTTCTCAAATACTCAATTATTTGCACACCATTGCCTTAAAGCTTCCAATTTTTTATTCGAGTGTTATTGATGAAGGTTTATTCAGAAAAGTGCTTCGGACGCAACAAAAGTATAAAGTGTTCTTTTCATTAAGACGAAAGCATATATGACTTATTATTTACACTGAACTACTAAATCATCTATATTCTTTGCACGGGTTTTATACCCTAAGAGAAGACTTTATAAGTTTGATTAGTTTGTGTCACATCCCTTTTGCATATTTAAGCAAATAAAATATGTTTAAACTACACCCTAAGATAAATATGCATGATTGCAATTGATTTCAGGAATGATAGTTGCTCTAGCACATATTTGAAATTAAACATACAAATGCATTTTAACAGACAGCTCGCTGACGTTGATTGTAAATGAAACTATTTAATTTTGTAAAAAAAAACCTCATTCACCACACGTTTTGTGCGTGATCTCTACATGGTTAAATTCACTATACGTAAGCAGTTCTACATTTGTGTCTATAAATGGACTGTTTAAATAGATTATTTTGAATATCGTGGAAGCTTAACTTAACGAATTGAATTTCTAAAGTTCATTGTGACGACAAATAACTTTGTCTAATTGACCTCAAAAATATACTGTCGTACGGTTGTTAAAATTAAACAAAAAACTCGTGCGTTATTCAAAAATATTTGTTTTTATCAAATAATTGTTAAATATATATACCGTTAACTCTAGAATAACAAAACTAACAATATATATATTACATGCGTATCTTTATCGTCTTATATATATATTGTTAAAAGTAATCTCTGTTACAACGAGAGTCCATTAAAATATCAATAAGCTAGAGCTCAAGGTGGGAAAATACAAGCAAGTAAAGCATTTAAATAATTAAAAGATAAAAGACTATTGAAAAGGGTTCCGGTACTTATGGTGTCTGTTTGCTTTTTATTTTTGTTGTGATTTATTTATATATTTTTATTCTAAACACTCCATTATACGTACTTTAGTATTTTCAGTTGCCTGCTTAAAACTCGCCGTACAAAGATATATTGTCGACGATCATATATTCATGTTTGGGTGTTTTTTGCTCTCCTTTTCAATTAACGTGCAAAGAATTCTCCCAATTACCCGTTTGTACAGTTCTTAAACAAGAATAGCCGATATCGCTCGAGAGGACCATACACGCAGACAAATTCCTTTAAAAATGCTATTAAATTTGGGAAGAGGTTCCTTATGTCCATGATAATGAAGACGGTCTTGATGATATCACCACAAATAATTCAAATTGAATAATTCAAAATTGTAGCATTTAGAACATATGCCATCTGCAATCCTATGAGGTCTGACATAAAAGGACATTAATGAAATAATTTCGACAATTTATGCAGAAAAAAGGACAGAGGTTAATTACATATCAGTGAAAACCAAACGTGACACATTGAATTCAATAAGTTAATTTTAACCATTCGAGTCTTACATTTCAAGAAAAAACTCTTCCCGAACCTAATTAAAAAAAATGAAAAGTGGTTTATATCACGTAATTATCACTGTGTACTGGTTGTTTTGTTGTTCTGTTTTTTAAGTACCGTTTTCTTTATATCCTTTTGGGCTTTGATGTATTAAAAGCTTATTTTGTATCCCCTACTTCTGTTTTTGATCAAAACCCGTTGAAGGTTACGTGTATTCCTGAAACACGTGTTGTGTAGTCTGTAATCTGCAGACAATCACTAAACCGGTACTTATGTTGGTGAACTGTCAGTCCCTAAGGTACCAACCGTACCATCATACAAGTAACATGTTCTTACGTACAGACATGATTGAAATAAAACATTTAGATTGTGTTTTTTTTTCAGTTTTACGGAATATCTGCGATACAGACGACTACAGATGTCTTTCGTATGTTTTAGCAACAGAACCTTTCTTTTCTCGTTTACGAATTATCAACTATTGCAACAAATCATATAGCAATACAACGGGTGTCACAAGTAAAGTCTACTGTTCCTTCAGAAGTTGTATTTTTATCGGATTTTAACACGAGTGCAATTACGAGATACATTTTTGGAGCAAAAACTGCTTATCGCTTCGGTGCTCTAGATAGAGTTCTATGAATTTTTGGTGGGATATGCGTTGCTAAATTTAGGATTCTGTGAAATACTTTTGTCTTTTTCTTTTTATCCTTTGGTCATGATGTCGACTTATACTTTTTTGTAGTATTTCTTTATATTTGAAAAGCCAAAATTTATTATACGAATGAAGAGCTTATAAACCAAAAACGCCGGGCAAGGAATCAGAGCTTTGCATGAGGGAGATATATTCCTTTATTTAAAATTATTTCCAATATTTTGTAACAGCAAACTTGAATAACACAATATCCGTATTTTCATGCCAGAATCCAAGTACTGGCTACTAGACTGGTGATACCTTCGGGGACTAACAGTCTATCAACGGAAGAAGACTAGTAATAACATTAACGGTACCAATTTTACTGCACCAGATGCACAGATACATTATTTCGAAGCAATAATTTCAGGTTATAGCTACCATTGGAAAACTTGATAAAAAATGGTTTTGGTGTACCTTTTATGCGCTTATGCGTTGATATAACCATAGATGTGTTATTTATTTGATTTAGCAAATTGTACATTATTATTCAATATTGTTTTACTTGTCTTTCTGTTGTATATTACAACATAATTAAAGGATTAAACAACTTTTCTGTTCTGATTTTTGTTGTACATTCTTTAATGTACCTTTTGTTAGTCTACATATCTCTATCAAAAGGAGGAGGATCAAAGATAAAGTAAACTACTTTAACCCTGTCACATGTTCAAGCACCTGTTATAAGTTGACGACTTTGCGAGTTTTTTTAAAAGTTATATCTTAATGTTTTAATCCTTCAGAAAATTTGTTGTTGATTACAAGTCCTTTATTTTATCTATTAACACTATTTCACAACTTTACTTTGAGTTGGAGCAGTTAAGATCTTGTCATGTAGTGTAGAGAGTTGTCTTTTGGAATCAATTACCCGTCATTCGTTTATAGATATCAGTTTTTTTTACCGCTTTAAAGACAATATCCTATATTTCGCTTAAGAGATAGTTGATATACACAAACAAGTATTGGTTATTTCTCCTGGCAATCAGATTAAACCCACTTTATGTTTAAAACATTTTTTGGTAAGTTTTTAATATGGTTTTTGTATATAACCAAAACATAATTCCAACAAAATAATGAAATATTACCAAAGTTTATTGACTCTGGTAGAATAAGGAGAGAATAAGGCACCTTGACTCTAAATCGTTCAAAAACAGTAAAAAAATTACAAGCATACGAATTTGTGGAGGGTTAAATCTACATTTGTTTAGATCTCATCATAGAATATTGATACAAAACATCCTGATAATTTTTTGATATCATATAACCATAACTCGACGAAAATTCGAAAGATAAACACATGTGGACAACAACTGAACAAAAATTAAAGATTAAGCAAAATAAATTCCACCAAAATACGGGGAGAAATAACATTTGCTCCAAAAGGGAAAGCAGTTACTTACACTATTTTGTTGTTTATGAAAATTACAAACCAGGTATTAAGGTGATGCTCAGAAACTAGGAAAAGAGGACGGTGGATAAGACAAATAGAACATTTACGTGGTCATCTGTGACATATATCACTAACGGCCAACCGAATTCTGACGGCGTCTGTAAATCCTTTGAATATATTACTTCGAATCTACGTAATGACTCTTAGTGAGTAGCTTCTTTTTAGACAAATTGTCTCTGTCCCTTCTTCATTATGTTATGGTTGCATTTTCATGCCTAGTTCAAGCTTCCATTTTTTTCCAAAATTAGAAACCGACAGACAATTTCATGGATGCTCCAATGCACGAACCAACCAACACACAGGAATTAAATCAGGTGCTACGAAAAGATAAAGCAAGACTTGTCTCACCCGTTGACAAGTAACATTGTGCTTCTAAGTCTCCTTCCTTGATAGTCATAAACGTGGAAAGTAGAATGGCATTGTGGTTGTGACAAATAAAACATATCCATCTTCACAGATTGTGTCACATCGGTCAACAAAGTCATGGTGGTGACCATGACACAATTTTAAGAAATTACTGTAACTGCACCATAAAGAACCCTTGGTTTAGTAGTTTTGTTGTTAGCAAATATGTTATGCCTATTTATAGGACGAATAACCACAGGATATTAATGCTATAAAATTCAGACATGCTTAAAGTGTAATGGGACATATTATTTAGTATATGTTCATCTACCAACACAATTGCAACCTGTTCATAAAATAGACTGTATAAATTGTTGCGGGACTACTTACAGACATTTTTTATTTTTATAATGTCATTCTAAGGTTTCAATTTTTTGGGGCTGACATCCTGACAAAAGGACTATCAATCTAGACCTTTTTTACTAACAATAGAAGAAAATATCAATACAGAATTTTTCTCACGATTTAAATTCCTCAAAATTGAGATAGAAAAGATTTGAATGTCAAGAATAAAAACGATCGAGTTAAATATCCTATCATGTGATGTCTTTAGTTCAATATCTAACTCTATCCTCTTTATTTATCCTTCTAACTAAGACATGAAATCGTGATTTTTTTTTAACGAACAATGCAAGTGAAAAATCAGCACAACATTGCACTATAACATTGTAGTATAAAACTGAAGAAATTTCTCTTCTGATCACCAGGGATCAAAATGAATCTGAAATTAGTAGTTGTCCTTCTAGGTTTCCTGTGCATTTCACAAGCCTATCCTAAGGTAAGTACTTTATGTTAATTTTAATTAAGAGTGATAGTTTTTGGATAAAAAAAGGCATTGCTCTAAAACATACGTGCACATTGTAAGATTATTTTTTTTTTGTACAAGACAATATAAAGAAATTTGACGTAAGTAATTTATTTATCTCATCTTAGAAAACTGCAAAAGCCAAATATACCTTTAAGTTAAACATTTATCAGGTTCGGTAAATTGGCATTTTGTGCTTATGTATAACATGTAGCTCGAACAAGCTATTAAAGACAAATCGAGCTTTACAAATGTCACCTTAATTATAGATTTTTTTAATTCAAATTTCTGTTTCTTTCCTTTTAATTTACAGTGCAATAGAATTTGGAGACATAAATAAGAAGAACAGCTTGATATTATTATGCAATAAATTTTCACAATTTGCTGTGATCCCTAAAATTTTTTGATGCAATTTGAAGTTTTGCACACAAATATATTGATCTATGTTTCTTTCTTATGGCTGTTAGGTTTAAGTCTGCCATAGTGGTGGTAATTTTATGACTCAATTTGCTATTCTTACCTGACGTTGGATTGCTGTTTCATTGACTTATACTCTACATCTTCTTTTATTCATATTCGAGATGTAGATTTAATGAACTTTTGTATGTGTACCAAACAGCCAATGCCCCTAGCAAATGGTCACTATATCTAAGTTGCAATCTGATTAAAATTCAAATATATCTCAGCAAGCGTTATTTGTCGAAGATCTGACACGTACGGTATGCTCGTTTCACTTTTGTAACATCTTCTGGGCATAGCGATATCAGAGATCTATATTTTAATTGATGAAACAGGCAGCTTAAAAGCAACTACAACAATTTGTGTTTTTAACTTTGTCATATTGACCAGTATAAAAAGAATAACCAACTTCAAAATAAACAAATTGTAGATACAAAGGAACAGACATGAAATAACTTGTACTCCAAGGTCCCCGCTTCCCTCAAATTGTCAAATTTGTGTTTCCAATTTATAAACAAACACTATCTCAGACACTTCCAATGTCAAAAAAGTAAGCTTAAAGTTTCATAAACTGCAATGTTAATCATAACTTATCGCACGCAATGCAAGTTTGTGTACACTTTGTAAGTCTTAAGAAGTGTTTCTTCTTCTCAGGACATCATGAAACCACATTCTCTTTTAGAAACTATCGTTTTTGGGGGTTTTTTTGGTTCACTTTGGTTTAAACTTGAAATACACATGCCCTCGATCGAATGACTTTTGTACAAATGAAGTGCCGAAAATAAAGGAAATGGATTTAAAAGGTTGACTATTGCTGTATTTCGTTTGTCATAGACTCAATTTTGCGAGCCTTGGATCAGTTTAATTTTTATTTAAGAACGTTGTTGTACGTTGTTGTTTGAAAATTATTTTTTTTACCAATCTTGTTTCATTGGGAACTTAGTGGCGTGCCATTGTTTGGATATGTTGTTGGTTTTTATTCATATTTAAAAGTAGGTCCAGAAAATACTTTGCTGGGAGGAGGTTCAAAGGTGGAACAATAAAATAAAATAAAATAAGCCCCAAGATTTACTGAGGTTTACAACCCCCTTTAACAGCGTCAGTTTGTCTGTGTGTAATAAATAAATACGTAGCCACGTGCGATCGGATTTTTGTACGTTCAATCTGGTAACACGTGAAAGGACACTTCTACGCTTTGTACACGTTGAAGTTCCTTTAATTTATAAGAAAAAAGAGTGGTTCGTATGTAGCCGGTTGCAATAACTTCAAGCCTTTCCCATGATTTACTCATTTTCCAGTTGCAGTCCAAATTTCCCATCCTTCGTCTCGTTCGACTCACTCTGTAGAGCTTACCTATTAATTTTATTATTTATTTACATTGTTCTTGTCTCGAATATACAAAAATGTCACTAGACGGACGTTAAGCAAAAACACAAACAATCAGAACATCTTCAGGTATAGATAAGCAAATAAATATATAATTGTCAATTGAAAAAAAAAGAAACATTGTTTGTTCTTGTTTTCTTATTGTCTATTATACCGATACTATGAAGCTAAAACTTTTCCTGTACTAATTTTTATTTTTGCACGTACCATTGTTAGTCATTGGCCATTGATCGAGGTTTAACAAGGTAAAGGGGACATATAAAAAAAGTTTAACTCCACCGCATATTCGTGTGCGTGTCATTAATCATTAGTATAGTCCATGATAGTCTTATGTAATATCTTTATGTTTTTTATTAAATGGAAAATATGGTGTAGATATTAGATCTTTGATAGTTTCTGTTTAACATATTCACAACGTTTTAGACTCTGGACGATTTAGACCTTGAATTTTTGTACAGATATAAAAATAAGGAGATGCGGTATGATTGCCAATGAGATAACTATCCACCAAAGTTCAAATGAAGTTGATGTACGGCTGTCTATTGTTGAAGAATGTGTGACGTTACCTTTACGTGTCTTGGTTATGTGTCGTTGTGTTATGTCTACTGTTGAAGACTGTGTGATGTTACCTTTACGTGTCTTGGTTATGTGTCGTTGTGTTATGTCTACTGTTGAAGACTGTGTGATGTTACCTTTACGTGTCTTGGTTATGTTTCGTTGTGTTATGTCCACTATTAAAGACTGTGTGATGTTACCTTTACGTGTCTTGGTTATGTGTCGTAGTGTTATGTCTACTGTTGAAGACTGTGTGATGTTACCTTACGTGTCTTGGTTATGTGTCGTTGTGTTATGTCAACTGTTGAAGACTGTGTGATGTTACCTTTTACGTGTCTTGGTTACAAATGTATGTGTCGTTGTGTTATGTCTACTGTTGAAGACTGTGTGATGTTACCTTTACGTGTCTTGGTTATGTGTCGTTGTGTTATGTCTACTGTTGAAGATTGTGTGATGTTACCTTTACGTGTCTTGGTTATGTGTCTTTGTGTTATGTCCACTATTAAAGACTGTGATGTTGCCTTTACGTGTCTTGGTTATGTGTCGTTGTGTTATGTCCACTATTAAAGACTGTGTGATGTTACCTTTACGTGTCTTGGCTATGTGTTGTTGTGTTGCTGTCTCATAAACGTATACCCAACATCTCATTTTATTCATAAGAATTTAATTGCGAGTTGTTTAAGTGCTTTAAGACCACTCTGATCGATATGCGAGTTATTTTAGAAATCGTGTTAAGATCATACTAATAACTATTGAAAACATGAACTATTAATGATTTTGATTTTTTTAGTTTTGTTTATCTAAAATTTGTTCGGTATACATTTTATACAATAGACCTTCTTTTTGGTAAACACTCTCAATCAGATGAAAGATGAACGCGCCATTCTTTGATAGCGTTTGTTACGCAAACTATGCTCTTTCTTTTATTCATTTAGTTACTTTATTTAATATTATTTTTGAAAAGTGTTTTATTTTCTCAGAGGTTTACTCTCATAAATTTCTTTATAAGTTTTAACAATGAGGCTATAGGAACTGAATGTAATACCTAAACATAGGGTTGAATAATAAGGTCATGTTATACCTTAAGTAAACGGTTTTAGTTAAACTCCCATATCCCTGGACAATAGAAAGAATAGCTGTTTGTGGATGGGGGTAAATTTAACATGACCAGCGTGATCTCCAGATTAAAATTGACAGTTAATGCGTCACAAATCATGAACAAAAAGTGTATAAATACTAGTAAGAGAAATTTCCTAACAGCATAAACTATGAAGACCACCTTGTTTATCGTGCTCTTAGGGAGCTTGTGCCTTGCAAATGCTTCTTTCAACAAGGTAAGAAGTATATTATTCTAATGTTCATTTAGACTTTGCTGACATATATGTTGATTACTAAGCTGGTATTTATTTGGCAATATTTTGCTATTGTCGTATTCATTACAAATGGTAAACCTCCCTCTCTTTTTTTACTCAGGAGGAGAATTTAAGACAAGAAGAATCCTTTTTGGAATGGATAGTAGATCGAGCAAGGCAAGGTAAGTTACTTCGTATACACAATGCGATCTGATGTGAGTACTTTTGAAAATTAAATTCTAACACTGCTGAGTAAATTAAAATTATTTTTTTATCATGAACAAATAATAATGCGTACGTTTTATTCCATATGTCCTTTTTCGTTTTCCAAAACGACAAGATACCGTCATAAGAATGGTGACTATTATAAAAACATGGTTTACGTTGACGAAATACTACAGCAACATAATAAGTGAAATAATAAAACAAATGACTAACATAGCAAAGGAACAAAACCGTTTTAAAATACGTATATCTGCTACCCGCCTCATTTTTAGACTTGTACCTCGAATTTGACATAAGCGGTCATCTCAGTGCCAGAATCTATGACAAACGAGACGATTTTCATTTTGAAATTATAAATCCCCCCCCCCCCCCCCCCGACCTTAGCAGCAATAAACCAACTTCACCTGCATATGGGATATACCTTTCCCAACTCATTCGGTATTCAAGAGCTTGCAGCTGCTACTCAGACTTTATTAAATGTCACCAGTGTCTGAGCAAAAAGTTGATGAACAAGGATTATGTCAAAGAACGTCTCTTCATTTTTTCTAAAGAAGTTTATCGGAAGATACCAAGACCTTTTTGATAAATATTCAGTATCAACTTCACAAATAGTATATGATGATCTTGAAGTATAGATTTTAGGTACTGACATTGTTTATCATCTTAATTACTTGTTAATTTGTCTTTGTATATTTATAGCCATTACTGTTTAGTCCATTTTTTGGTAATATCCTTTTGGCGTGGTTCGGTATTTGTACATTGTGTTATTGTGCTATGGTCATTTTATGTATTTTTTCTTTCATTATGTGCTTTGTCTATAGAGTGTCTTCATGCCATTTTGTTTTCTCTGTTGACTTAGTTGTTTGTCTTATAGTGATTAAGATACTAACACAATGTTGACTACTGCATCCCAATTTTTTACATTTTTACCTATTATATAGAAATAAGAAGATGTGGTACGAGTGCCAATGAGACAACTCTCCATCCAAGTCACAATGTGTAAAAAGTAAACATTACAATTATAGGTCAAAGTGCGAACCTCCAACACGGAGCCTTGGCTCACACCGAATAGCAAGCTATAAAGGGCCCAAAAATGACTAATGTAAAACAATTCAAACAGGAAAACCAACAGTCTAATCTATATAAAAACGAGAAAAGAGAAACACTTATGTCTGTTTGTATTGCTGACACATTGTTGTCAATAAAATGAAATTTTACGCGACTGTCATATAAGTGAGAGGTTTAGCTAGCTATGAAACCAGGGTTAACACACCATTTTCTACATAGGGAAATGCCTGTACAGGAATATTACAGTTGTTTCCATTCTTTTGATGTGTTTGAGCTATTGATTTTGCCAATTGTTAAGGGACTTTTCGTTTTGATTTTTTCTTGGAGTTCGGTGTTTTTGTTATTTTACTTTTTTCGTTCATTCTTGCGTATTACTAATATACTTAACATATAAAAATTATTTTACATATATTGCATTTGTACATACAGATCTAGAATAAAAACAAATATAACAACTACAAATACTATATTTTCAGAACAAAATGACAATGACAAACCAAGACCTACAGGGCAACCAGAAAGAGATGGACCAAGACCCTCTGGACGACCTCCAATGAAAGGAAAGGAAGGAAAGCGTCCAAAGCCAGAAGAGAGAGAACTTGATGGTGACAGACCAAGACCAACTGGGCAACCAGAAAGAGATGGACCAAGACCTTCTGGGAGACCACCAATGAAAGGAAAGGGAGGAGATGGACCAAGACCCTCTGGAAGACCTCCAATGAAAGGAAAGGGAGGAAAACGTCCGAAGCCAGAAGAGAGAGAACTTGATGGTGACAGACCAAGACCCTCTGGAAGACCTCCAATGAAAGAAAATGGAGGAGATCGACCAAGACCCTCTGGAAGACCTCCAATGAAAGGAAAGGGAGGAAAACGTCCAAAGCCAGAAGAGAGAGAACTTGATGGTGACAGACCAAAACCAACTGGGCAACCAGAAAGAGATGGACCAAGACCTTCTGGGAGACCACCAATGAAAGAAAAGGGAGGAGATGGACCAAGACCCTCTGGAAGACCTCCAATGAAAGGAAAGGGAGGAAAACGTCCGAAGCCAGAAGAGAGAGAACTTGATGGTGACAGACCAAGACCCTCTGGAAGACCTCCAATGAAAGGAAAGGTAGGAGATGGACCAAGACCTTCTGGAAGACCTCCAATGAAAGGAAAGGGAGGAAAACGTCCAAAGCCAGAAGAGAGAGAACTTGATGGTGACAGACCAAAACCAACTGGGCAACCAGAAAGAGATGGACCAAGACCTTCTGGAAGACCTCCAATGAAAGGAAAGGGAGGAAAACGTCCAAAGCCAGAAGAGAGAGAACTTGATGGTGACAGACCAAAACCAACTGGGCAACCAGAAAGAGATGGACCAAGACCCTCTGGAAGACCGCCAATGAAAGGACCAAGGCCTTCTGGTCAACCACCCAGAAAGGGAAAAGGTCCACGACCATCAGAAAAACAGCTTGACAAAATGCTTCGTGAACTTGAACTTGACATTGAACAGTTGGAAGGTGCGTTTTCAGTGATTACATTTCAAATACTAGGAGTTATTTGTCTCATTACCTTTTTCAGTATGACCGAACCTGAATTTTATTAAAGCTTAGCTAAATAGCTAAAAAAAAATACAGAATTAATACATTGTGAATATGATAACACTACTTATAGAAATTGGATCGTTTGTATTTAATTTTGACTGTTAGGGTTTAAAAAAAAAAGAAAAAAAAACCACATGTTACCCATTTGCAGTCTATTTTAAAAGCTCAACGTTGATCTAAACGACATCTAATAACATGATTTGTTTAATTGAGCCTTTGGAATCATTTTACATTTGTTTACCTTCTTTCAGGAAAAAATCATGAACTGCATCGTATAGTGCCTCTATCTTAAAAGAAATGAATTGAAATATTCATAAGATTGACAAATGCACATAGTATCCATTAACATATTTCTAAACATTTATCTTTACTTTCAGAATGAACACACCACTGGAGATAATTCTAGCTAAGGTAAATAGTATTTTAGTGTATTAAATTTACGGATATGAGTTTAAAGTTCCGATGAATATCATCTGATGAAATTATAATCACGAAACAGAGTACAAAAACGTGTACATTGAAATCAAAATATAAACCAATGAAAGTAACTTGTTATGATTCATGTGCGTATAATTTATTTCATGACGTGTCGAAGTGTTAAACTGAAACATTTTATGGTATTTTAAGTCAGTTTGGGAATATAAACAAACCGGGAGTATTATACATAAAAGAAGGATAGACTTTTGAGAAGATATGTCGTATACAATTCTTTTATAAAACTAAAAGGAAAAGTTCGTCACCGTACTCGTTTTTTATTATACCTAACAAAATAGTTACATTTACAGTAGTACTACACTCTATATATGTTTTTGTCACAAACTAATTATGTTTATATGACAATAAAGATATTGTTATTATAAAACTGGGGAAAAATCTCCTTATACACATTCAAAATATTATCTTAATTTGTAAAATGAGTTATTCCCATAAGATAACAGCATTCAATTCATCATTTACAAAACATCCTACAAACATATTGCATTTCTGTATCAGAATTTGCTGATTTTAGTAAATAAAATTCTTGACATTTGCAAACCAAAATGGCGGAATACACTGGAATATGGCTTTAAAAATCTCCATTTTCAACTTTTGAATCGGTTAAAATAGTATAAAATGGTATCGACTATTATTTGGCATGTCTGCATTTTCATTCTTCAGATAAAAATCTGAAACAGTACTGAATAAAATAAACTTTCATTTCATATTTATTCCGGAGACAGTCTAAACGTACCTGTGATAAAACAGTAACAGCATACTCAACTTACAAAGCATGTCGCAATGAAAGGTTTTAATCGTACTTTGACTGAACAAATAAGACCAAAAGGATAAGAAGTTTTTTGAACAAATGATGTGCATGTGTCATCAGCATCGCATGTTATTCACAGAAAAAGAAAAAAAAAACTGTCAAGACGTATACTTTTTTTCAGACCTAGGAGGTGCTATTTGGCAAGGACCATTTTTTGTATAGCTACTAACAAAACGAATTTCTATAGTTTACACATTCCTCTAAGATATGTATACATTATAAACCTTTTATTTTATAATTGCAGGAAAATCGACCGCTGTTATCATTGGTGGATGTACATATACACCAGAAAACATTTTTCAAATTTTGAAAAGGTAGTGAACATTTTCCCATTACATTTTGTACTTTTGTAATTTGCATGTACTATCATCGTAAAATAAATTAATTTACAAGTCAAATGACTTCTTTTATTTAAGTTTCAGCACAATTTTTATGTTTTAAATTTTCTTTGAATATCATACAAAATGATATGTAAAGTTTTATAGATAAACAATTTCGTAAAAATACAGACCTGCGTTTTCGCATTAAATTAGCTCTCAGTGTGTATTTAAGGATTAGATATTTTGACGAAAAAAATCATTGAATGAAAGGGAACACGCCAATGAAACAGAAACTCAAATACATAAATAATCAAAATAGCATTAACTGTACCAATTTTACTGCACCAGATGCGCATTTCGACAATAAATGTCTCTTCAGTGATGCTTGAGGCCAAAAAATTTAAAAACTCAAACTTATACAAATGTTGAAGAGCTGATAAAACCAAAAGTTTCTTGTAGTATAGCCCAAGAGTCATTTACATCAAATACCAAAAACATATATGTTGTTTTTGGAATAATTTTTATGAAAACGACAGGATAACTATTCGAGAAACAAAATCTCTACACGCAACCTATAAAATCAAAAGCCAAATAACAGCGCTTTTTATTACTGGTCTTAATTCAAAGTAAGGATTTCACTACTCTGCAAAACCCCCAATCATTATGCAAGTTCCAGACGCCTCATAAGCACCGGTTTTAGCATCATTTGTTGATAGATGTCGACAATGCTATACATCAGTCAGATTACTTCAGGTTTTAGTGGTGTTTGTGTTGCTGAGTCTTTACATTTCTATGTTGTTTTTGCTAACTTTGTTTGTATTTTCGTCGTTTTTCGTGTTCTTGCCATGGTGTGGAGAGTTTGTCTTCGACTAAAGAAATGAAAACATTTACGTTATAAATTTCATGGATTTACCTTCACCGGGAACGCTCAAAGCCGAAATTTGAAAGCCAAGGATGTATAAGAACCGAAACAGTTGAAGAGCTATATAAACCAAAAATGACATAAAACAAATAGCCAAATCCATCTAAGGTCAACTTTGCCTGAGGGAGTTAAAACCTTAGTTTCTAACGATTTCAAAATTTATTAACGGACAATTTTAGAAAGGTTGTTATAAATCATGTCAGTACCGAAGTACTGACTTCTGGGCTGATGATACTCTCGAGGACTGATAGTCCACCAGCAGAGGTATCGACCAGTTCTAAAGAGTTTGATTATCCTTCTAATTATCAGCCTCTTTTCTTTTTCGGTATGCAATTTAACGTCGTCATCTAAGCCTTTTTGAACATCAGTCCGATAATATCGTTGTAAAATACAGAAACAATACATACATATGGAATATCAAGTTATTTAAACCCGCTGCATTTGTTTGCGCCTGTCCTTAGTCAGGAACCTGATGTTCAGTGGTTGTCGTTTGTTGATGTGGTTCATAAGTGTTTCTCGTTTCTCGTTTTTTATATAGATTAGACCGTTGGTTTTCCTATTTGAATGGTTTAACACTAGTAATTTTTGGGGCCCTTTATAGCTTGCTGTTCGGTGTGAGCCAAGGCTCCGTATTGAAGGCCGTACTTTGACCTATAATGGTTTACTTTTACAAATTGTGACTTGGATGGAGAGTTGTCTCATTGGCACTCATACCACATCTTCTTATATCTATTTGTATGATAACTTGGTAGAACATAATGTATTAATAGGGGGAAAAAAGCAAATAGACTGCATAATAGTTTCAATACACAAACAGACAGAAACCGTTTTGAGAACGATTCAATGTGCTAGTGTTAGTTAGCGTCTTTGTTATGGTACAGATGGACTCGAATTTAAACCAAATGAAAGTGAAATTAAAAGTCAAATTTGAAAAAGACGTTTGGACAACTTGTATTAATGTGTGTAAAGAGACAACTTACATTGATGTTTGTAAAGACAATATAGGCGAGTGACATTTTTCAAAAAGCCTCTTAGTTAAGGACTTTAATGCACCCACCTAACACACCTATCATTCGAAAGCTTATTATCTGTACTTTCTGTTTTGCCCGGTCGTAAAAACATCGTACTGTGCATTTTCTGTTAAATCAAGGTCAAAGGTCAAGAATAAATATTCCAAATTTTTGCGATAATTAAACAAAAAGCCATTTTCTAGTTCTTGTACGATAAAATTTTCCAAAAGATCATATGAACCTTATATAACATGATACATTAATTCCAAATCAAACAAAAATTAAGAGGTAAGTTGCGCAATATTTCTGGATAATTGAAATTCTTAACAAATCCTACAAAAATGAAAAAAAAAATGCTCTAAAAGCAAAATATATCTTGGGGATCGATATGTGTATGCTCAAACATTAAATAAATGTATGGTTTTTAGGTCAAGGAACATTTTTTTATAATTTTAAGGTGCAATTATTAACTATTGTTCATGGAACAGCCTTCTGTTGAAGTGTTTTCAGTTGCCCAAAAATCTGCCATCTACGAATAGCGATCATTTTGTTTTTCTATGTTTAGATAGCACATCGATAATTGTCAATATCAGGGAGGAGAATAATTGTCCTTAATAAAAGAATGGGTATTTCAAGTTCAAAAAGAAATATACGAGCTAATTGAGGTAAAAATATGTTTTTTTTTCGAAGTCAAACATATTTACCTTTTGAAGTCATGTTGAAATGCAAACATGACTTTGCGACTAAATCGGTGGCAACATTGAAATAAGTAACCATCGTTTGAAAACACTTGGTTGTCTTTTGCGTGATATGAACAAAATAGATATAATGCTGCTGCTTTTTATTTTGTTTAAAAACGTGTTAGACATGTTAAATGCGTTTAGAAGTTTAATCTCGGTAAGAAAGCTGTTTTGAGTGTTTTCAGCATAAGCTTTTAGAATACAAATGCAGGTAATTGTGTATGTAAAAACATTTTTGGTAGTTGTGTTATTAAATAAATGAAAGGTTGAATACTCCTGACCTCATAAGATCATTCGCAGTTTGAGGTAGTGATCGTTTTCATGCTGCGCTGTGTTTTGTGGACTATTTGTTCGTCTGTTGGACTTTTATTTTATTTTGTTCATGTTTCTTTGATTCATGGTTTGAGATTGTCCCTTTTGTATCACTTTACTTTAAATGCATTAAGTTGCAGAAATGAAAATCGCCAAAAAATCGCCTTACAGTAAAGTAAAGAGGATTAAACGCAATAAGAAAAATATCCGCGAAAATAAGTTAAAATTGAGAATGGAAATGGGGAATGTGTCCAAGAGACAACAACCCGACCATAGAACAGACAACAGCAGAAGGTCACCAACAGGTCTTCAATGCAGCGAGAAATTCCCGCACCCGGAGGCGTCCTTCAGCTGGCCCCTAAACAAATATATATACTAGTTCAGTGATAATGAACGCCATACTAAACTCCAAATTGTACACAAGAAACTAAAATTAAAAATAATACAAGACTGACAAAGTCTAGAGGTTAGTTTGCTGACGGTGATATATATAACCAATTCGTCATCATGATATATTTAACCACAATTTTCAAACTATTATTACTAAAAGAGAATTGAAAGATATCAAAGAGACATTCAAACTCATATTTGAAAACAAACTGACAAAGCCGGGACAAGAAACCAAAAAAACGACAAAAAGACAAGCAAGAGTATACAAAACACAACATATTAAACAAAAAACCCCCAAAAACTGGGGGTGAATTCAGGGGCTCCAGAAGGGTAAGCAGATCCTATTCCACATGTGGCACCCGTCTTGTGGCTCATGTTATTCCTAACCGGGAGATAAGTCTAATTCGGTAGGTGATATTCGAGGCAGAGATGATGATATTGTGGTTACGTCGATTGGAACTTACTTATCCGTCGTCATCTGGCGAATCGGATATTCCATAACGGTCATCCAACTTGTAATGGCGTCCATAAAATTTTCAACTTCGCATTTTGAACTCTGTTTTAGTAGCTTCCTTGTGAGCAGCAACCCACTATCAAGGAAATCATGAAAGTAAATGCAAGCTCTGGAATATGGTATCAACTGGGAGATATATAATCCATATGTAGGCGTTGCTGGAATGTTGCTACATAGAAATGGAAAGTTCACAATTGAGTAGCTGAAATCATCTCTTTTGTTGTAAAATTTATGCATTTAAACAATGAATAATGCAGTTTAAGCAGCCAAGAAGACAAGTTTTCTAATGTGTATACTGGTATTTGAATTCTTTGAAATTTCAATTTTTATTAATTTATTTTTTATTTATTTTTGTCTATTTTCAATTTCTTTTTTATGGTTGACATTATATAAATAAAAGGTCTTTTCACTACATCAATGTTTATAATGAAATTACAAATCAAACAATAAGAAAAGTTGAAAGATGTTTATTTCAGTCTAGCAGTTACAATGCACATTGCAATGTCGCAGTTTCGCCCCCTTAATTTCAAGCAATAGTATGATGCTCGCATATATTTTGTTACTTTAAATGTTTCACATTCTTCAGAATTTGTTTCTTCAATCTTATATTGACCACATACAATGTTTAAAAGGGAAGAAGCGCTTAAAAGCTGTGTTTCGGCAGATGGCGGTATTTTGGGCAACTGTATGAGTTGTTATGATTTGCTGTTTTATTAGAAGTAGCATAATTATAGGAAATTGATGGTGTCAAAAACTTCTTTAATATTTTTTACAGGGTTTACTTAGTTTTAAGTGATTAGCAGTTGCATCAGAAACAAAAATTTTGGTTTTCACTCATTTTATTAACTTTTACTCGAATTTCAGGAAACATGTGCTGTCTATCAAAACACGCTTTTTAAAAATATTTAAAAGTGCGTTTGATAAATGACTGTTAATCTCTCTGCTAAAAAGTTTGAACTGTCTGCATACATGAGTTTATTATATAGAAGTCAGAATATGCAATCAAGCTGACGTCTTGGAAAATATGCACTTATTCGTCCTTGACATTTGATCTTCATTTGACGGAAATTGCCCTGTACGATTTTTTACGACCGGGCAAAACAGATAGGTTAGCGTTCGAATGATATATAATTTAGCTGTGTGTTAGGTGGGTGCATTAAAAATTTAATTTTATGGTTAAAGTCACTCCA